AGCTGAGGGTTCATACAATTTCTGTCATGGTACTGCATTATTAAAAAGCCTTCCTCTAGAAATTAGGCTGCCCCCTTGCTAGTGGCTTTATAGAAGCTTTAAAGAGTTTTAGGTTTTTCTATTTCTGTTTTTCTACACATCAGTGAAAATAATATTGCCATTCTATTCAGTTGATACATAGTAACACATTGCCATTTTTTATAAAGGAAGCTATCACCTGTATGCTTGTGGCTTTATAAAACAATATCTATTAACAAATGTGCCAACTATAGTGAAAACATTGAATATATTTTTGATTGGCCAAAGAAAAGTCTGAAATGCTATTTTAATATCACTTCAAGCATTTAATTAAAGATGGGTCTTTGTTGGAAGAATTTACTTCTTTGCTCATTTTCTAATGTTTGCAATTTATTATATGTCCATGTAGCCACAAAGACCCAATGTGATTTTTCTCCCTTAAAATGCTGTCCACCACATAGGATATTTCAAGATCCTGTTTGAGCAGGGGCTGGATTAGAAGAATTCCAAGGTCCCTTCCAACTCTTATTCTGTTATCCCTTGCATCTCTAGTACTAGTAGTATGCTTTTTTTCTAAGTGCATTATGTCTAGCTTCTTGCATAATTTTTTCTTGAAGACGTGATTGGAGTTTCAACTTGGAACTAGCAGTTAAATGGGATTCATTGCAGTCGGCCTGATCCCTCAAAATGGGCGAGTCAGAACAAATGCATAGTATAAATAATTTTGAGTAACCTAGGTGTGGTTCCAAATCCTTTTGTACTCCCTTTAGCTTCTTGCAGTCAGCACATTTTAATTAATGGCTTTACAGTAAAGACAAGTTCGTGTTCTTAAATCATTATACTTCCATTATTTGCATATTTCATTTTTTAAAAATTCTATCCTTAAATGTTCAATATTTTTTCTCTTCTTTCTCCTCACAGCTGTGTATGCCAAGTTACTAAGCCAAGGTCAACACAGCAAGCATATTTTATTTATTTGAGTCTCTTTGCATGCTGCTTTTTGTTTATAATACCCAACTGTTTATGTCTAATAAGGATTTTGTTATCATAGAACAAATTCAAGGAAGAAGAGAATTCTGACTGTTTGTCAGAATATTTGGCTAGGCCAGAGTAAGCACAAAACAAAGAAAGAGAAATTTGGGCATATATTGTCTAGTAGAAGGGATCTTCTCTTTTTCTGTTGAATTTTCTGTAGTTAGAGTTTTTATTCTTACCATTGTACACAATCTTCTGAAAGATTATGCTATAGACATAACGGTTTTATTGTGTCTACATGGACCTTTTTATTTCTGAGTGACTTCCTTGCTTGTCTACAAGCTGTTTATATTGCTTAGCTGATTATATTCTTAGAATTGACCCCCTTGTGAATGCTTACAATCTGCTAGTGAAAAACAACATATGTCTTAGGACCTAGTGCTCACTTTACACAATATTTTGTTTTGGTTCTTGTTCTTCCTTATTTTTTAGAAAGCTATATCTAAATTGTATATATTTGGATATGATATATCCAACAAACAAACTGGTTTTATTTGAGGATAATATATAAGATTATAAAAGTAATAATTTATTAAATTTATGTGCTCCCTGACTCCCAGAGACTGGGTAGTTTAAAGGAACAAGAAACAAAGAATAAAGATCTCAAGGATGACAAAACTAGCTGGGATCAAAATAAGTATGGTTTGCTGAGATAATTCAGCTTCTTAATAACTGTAATGAACACAATGTAAAATGAAATGTGTTTTCATGACTTCCCATGTCACGTCATTTTCAGATAAAACGACCTTATTTTCATGTTAAACCTCTGGAGAAAACACAGCTGAAGAACTGGAAGGAGTATTTGGACTTTGAGATTGAGAATGGAACTCATGAACGAGTAGTGGTTCTTTTTGAGCGTTGCGTGATCTCCTGTGCTCTCTATGAAGAATTCTGGATCAAAGTAAGGGGCGTTTCTCCTATGCCAGTTCTATTCTTTGCAAACATTGATGATCAGTGACTAACCTTCTGTACTCTTGTTTGAATGTTGTTCATGTATAACTATATCTGTTGCATTAGGAGATGGTCTGCTTGCAACCAGATTTGACAGCTGCATATGCCAACTTCGTTGCCTCTCTTCGTCCTTCCTTACAGAAACTAGTCTAATGGTTCAATAAAGGTGCTGAGTGGGTTTAAAAAACAAGAATTTTATAGTTCTCTCAAGTATTTAGCAACCCAGAGTAAGCTGGGAATCATTCAGTCTCTACTCTGTCTTCAAATGCAGTATGCCAAGTATATGGAGAACCACAGCATTGAAGGGGTGAGGCACGTATACAGCCGGGCCTGCACGATACACCTCTCGAAGAAACCGATGGTGCACTTGCTCTGGGCTGCTTTCGAAGAACAGCAAGGTGAGGAGGAGACAGTGGGCATATAGGTCTCCCTTGAATTGTCTCAATTCATCCTTTTAGATTCTGGGTTTAATTGCACAATACTCTGGGCATACCATCATCTCCCCTTTCTCATTGCCCAGAATTTAACAAGATAGATGTTAGAAATGCTGCTAATTCAGGCATTCACCTGAAGGTATAAAAATAAACAATCACCCCCCCATTCCATATAAAACACTCTTTGACATAGAGCTATTGATTGTCCTCGAAATCTTGTATCCTCCATCTTCTCAGCCAAGGAGCCAGGTTCATCCAGACTTGAGCTAGTTATAACTGTCTATCTGGAAATAAACAGTTTTTAGACTCTAGACTATGATTCCGTCTCCATCCGGACCACTGTGGCCTCCCATAGAGCACCAATATTCAAAATCCCTGAAATCACATGGCACATTTTCTGCCAAAGAGAAAAGGAAGTGGCACAAAGATCACTTCTTGAGATGCTAGCCTTTTTTGTAAATGGTTATCAATTATTTAGCATGTTAGAGCAAAGATTTCAGCGGTGGCTTCAATCCTTTCAGATTCTCAAGGTTAGCTGTTCATAACCACACAATTGATGTATTGCCCTTTCAAACTCCTCTGCTTAGCAAGTGTTTGTTGGAAAATGGCTTTCCTCATGGCCATAAATTCAAACAGATCTTTCCCTAATACATGGGCCTCCATAGAGATCCCTCATTCATGTCCCAAGTTACAGTATATTCTACAGAGCTTGTTCCTCTAAATCTTCTGTGTTGTCACAGAAGCAGTATTGCAGGTTGTACATCTGGAGAGTACCCAGTGAGTATCATAGCCAATTTCACAAGAAATGTAGCCAGTTTTGTTTTTTTACTAAGATGCCACTGAAGAACAAAGGTTGGCAAGATGGCCCTCCATCAATTCCTCATTGAGACTGTGCAGGTTTAGTTCATACAAGTCAGCTGAAACCTACAAAATTGAAATTCTATGTGAAACAGAACCACATTCCAATTTCTGCTCTACAAGTAATGCCCAACTTTTGGGGATTCTCTGGGAAATTCTACTTAAGGTTGCTCTTCAGGCAATGTAGGGAAATGAAACATTGGACTTAGTATTTTTCACTTTATGGGACCATCTTTTCTGTTCTATTGTTCTGTTCTGTATCTATTGTTCTTCCCTTAAGCATCTTCTGTTCCATTGCGTGCCAGTATCTAACCTCAGGATATGGGAGGTCCTAGAGAAATGTGGTTGATCTCAGAAAGTAAACAGGATCAGTACTGTTGGATGGAGAGCAATCTGGAAATCTCAGGGCTCTTGGTTAGGTTATAAAGTTATAAAGACATTGTAGGATATAGTAGCAGCAAGCTACATTTGTTGTCATTGCCAAGAAAAGTGCATTTACTAGGAATCAGCCTGAAGACATTTTTTTTTACATTTGCTACAAATTGTTCTCTATTACTTTACCTTGGAGTATAACAAAAAAATATTGTCAGAGCCAATGGGAGGAGCCACCTAGGCAAAGATATCCCTCAGATAGAAAAAGGAGTTGCATGGAAAGTTCACTACAGGAAATCCTCAACTTACAACCATATTCGAGCACAAATTGCTCTAAATTTCCATTGCTAAGAAACACAGTTGTTAAGTGAATTTTGTCCCATTTTATGATCTTTCTTGCCACTGTTGTTAAGTGAGTCACTGCAGTTGTCAAGTTAGTAACATGGTTGTTAAGTGAATCTGGCTTCCCCATTGATTTTACTTGTCAGAAGGTCACAAAAGGGGTTCACATGACCCAGAACACTGTAACCATCATAAATACATGCCAATTGCCAAGTGTCCAAATTTTGATCTCGTGGGCTACAGGAATGGTTGTGTAAAAAATGGTCATAACTCACTTTTTTCAGTGCTGTTGTAACTTTGAACGGTTACTAAATGGTTGTAAGTCGTGGACTACCTGTACTTGGCTATTTAAAATTCTACTTCAATTAAGGCTATTTCTGTCAATTAGGTTTTTGAAACGATAACAAATGAAATGAGGTTCTGTGTTAATGCTAAATTGGAGTGCCTATGATTTCCTTAATTTGCGTTATCTTTCTGACCCCACTGTGGCTCTGTGAAGCAGAGATTCTTGACTGCTGAAAATCTAACTAATATGCATTATATAATATCCATCAAAAGGACAAAGCATAATCTTGATGTTGGGATGGAGAAATAGCCTAAACTTTGATGGGCTCATGTCAATTTGCAGTTCCAAGTCCACACATTCTCTCTATACTTTTAGGGAATATCAATGAAGCCAGAAGAATTCTGAAGATCTTTGAAGAGAATGTTTCAGGATTGGCCATGATTCGTTTACGGAGAGTTAGTTTAGAACGGAGACATGGAAACATGGAAGAAGCTGAACATCTGCTTCAGGAAGCTGTGAAAAATGCCAAATCAAACTATGAAGCCTCTTTCTTTGCTGTAAAACTTGCTCGACACCTTTTCAAAATTCAGAAGAGTCTTCCAAAAGCCAGGAAAATTCTTTTGGAGGCCATTGACAGAGACAAGGTATGTACTTTCCTGGACATTTCATTTATATATCTTAACTTAGGAGGAAGTCGTTATAGCTGGCAACTGTGATGATTCCTTTTAACTGCAATGTACGTAGCTGCAGTATGGAGACAACAGTCCCTCTAACCTGATGTTGCTTGGCTGGTCCATTTGTCTAATTTCTCCTTAAATTTTAGGTTTCCCTGGCATGGAAATTACCTGGCATTGAAAGTATAGTGATACCATATCTCGGCAGTATCATGTGGCCAAAAATGGTAGATCACTGTACCTGAAGCAATGCAGATTTCTAGATAAAAATGCAAATTATACACATAGCAGGAAATGTTCCTGAGAGAGCGGGATTATGTGGTGAGAAAAGTAAGATCCTGCATTTAGGCAAGAAAAACCAAATGCATAGAATACGAATTACCTGGCTCAACAGTAGTAACTGAGAGGGATTTTGATGGATCACTGCTTAAGTATGAGCCAGCAGTGTGCTGCAGCTGTCAAAAAAGCCAATGAAATTCCAGGCTGCATCAACAGAGGGATGGCATCAAGATTATGGGAAGTGATAGTACCACTCCATACTGCACCAGTAAGGCCATTGGAATACTGCATCCAGTTCTGATTACAATACAAAAAAGATGCTGAAGCCGTAGAACATGGGTGTCAAACTCGCCATGTCACGTGACGTATTGCGATGTATCGCTTTTTTGAAACCGACCCGTGGGCCGGCAGTTTGACACCCCTGCCGTAGAAAATGTGCAGAGAAAAGCAATAAAGATAAGAGGCCTGGAGGTTAAAGCATAAGATGAACAGCTAAGGAAACAAGGTAGGCTTAACCTAATGAAGGCTTAGGGGAGACGATAGCAGTCTTCCAATACTTGAAGAGCTGCGACAGGGAAGAGGGCACTGATTTATTCTCCATAGCATCTGAGGGCAAGACAAGCAGTAGGTGAAAGCTCATCAGAGATTCAACCTAGAAGTAAGGAGAATTTTTCTGATGAAGCAATTAATTAGTGGAACAGCTTGCTTTCCAAAGTTGTGAGTGCTCCATTGCTGGAGACTTTCAAGAAAAGATTGGACAATCATTTGTGCAAGTTAATATAAGGACTCCTGCCTTGGTTGGGGGGGGGGCTGGACCAGAAGGCCTCCAACATCCCTTTCAACCCTACACTTCTATGATTCTATGAAATATGTATGCCCTTATTTAAGAGACCATATTTGAGATAGTTCCTCTGATATTTGTCTTTAGAGAAGAATGTTGAATATCGTGGAGTTTTGTTGAACCCACAAGATTCCATTCAGATGCTACAATATGTGGCCATGTATGGACAAAACATATATGCTTCCAAGGCCTTATATTTTCAGTATGTACCATGTTTTGATTGAGAGCAGCGTGGTAGCTTAGTGGTGAAAATGCTCCCCTCCCACTCAGAAGGTTGAGAGTTCAGTCATAGGTAACAGATTTTTTCTCCTAGGGCGCAAAGAAAAAATACTTAATGCAAACTCCTCATAGGCAGCAGGGCATCCGACCAGTAAAAGCTCAGTTCCATCCAGTCGCCTCGACTTTACCCTGAATAGGGACTACGGGGTTGTAAAAAGGGTGTTTTAAAACTCTATGTTTTGATTATGGTGCAAAACATCAACCAGTTCTTGCTTTCTGCTGCAGTATGATTTCTCCTACTGGAGTATATTCTGATGAGTTCAGCCATTTAATTTTCTAGGTGTTGCAAGATTGCTGATAATTTCTTTAATGGAATAGGATAGAGAGCTTGTTATGATACATATTCTCAAAGAATTGGCTCAGCTGTCAAGAAGCATTCCTACTATATTAAGACACCTATTATTTTGGCCTCAGGTTGTTGCTGTAATTTGAAACCTGGCATTTTGGTGTACAGTTCCACAAGGAGCATAACCAATGTATTTACATAACTTAGAGACTTAAGCCGAGTTCATATTTACTAAGCCATGGTTTATTGAAAAGCCACACTGAATTTACAACATAAGTTGTAAATCATGGTTGTAACCTACCCCTGGTTTTACATAGCACAAAATATGGCCCAGACTTGTAAAGATTCCCACGCTGTTGTAATTTTGGAGGGCCTTGGAGAACTGTTTGGTAAAAATGATTGAAATCCCCCTCTGGTTATTGAATGTGACCTGTTTTTCGCTATTCTTTTTTCCTTGTTTTATTATTGTATTGGTTTTGGATTTGTTTCTTTTTTTCTTTTTCAAATTTGTGAGCTGCCAGAGTTTTGGGAGATGGGCAGCATAGAAATTTAATTAATAAATAATAAGATGTATGAATTCAGCCAAGTTTTCAATTATGTAAGATAATTAGATATATTCTGTCAATTTCTGTGTTGTAGTACCTAGAAGTATTTAAAAACACCAGTTACTCAGGATTCTCATACATAGTAAGCCAGGATTTAAATCATGCTTCCAGTTTTATTGCCAAAGTTTCTTACCTGATGTACATTTAGAAATTTGAGGAAACCTGTAGATTAAGCATAACCTATTTAACTATTAAAATACATGGGAACTTAAGTTGACTTTGAATTGTTTTTTGTTTTTTTTTGCGCAGGATAATCCAAAACTGTATCTCAATTTGTTGGAAATCGAGTACAGTGGAGATCTAAAGCAGAATGAGGAGAACATCATTTTGTGTTTTGACAGTGCTATTAATGGAACGTTGCCTGTAAAAATGAGGATTATATTTTCTCAGCGCAAAGTGGAATTTCTTGAAGATTTTGGCCTTGATGTGAACAAGTGAGATTTATTTTTAGTGATAGCAGCCATTGACTTTTGGGTCTATGAATGATTTGTAGCCAACAGAGATCAAGATGATCATGCTTATTCTTTATAAATTCCTCCAAAAATTACAATTTAAAATTTATTTCCCATTTTACTATAATAGTACTTTCAAAATCCAGCTATATTGATGGAAAGTGAATACAGTATATAAAACATCAGTGTTGGGAGTTAACGTTTGTTGCAGAATATGTCTGGAGTATGAATCTCAAAGTTTTCCTTTTTCCTTTCCTTTTGGTAGGCTTTTGGATGCTTATGAAGAACATCAAGCCCTTCTAAAGGAACAAGAATCTTTAAAAAGGAAAGCAGAGAATGGGTACAGATATTTTCATTCTAGCTACAAGTACTGGATTGATTTTTGAAATATAGCTGTTATTTACTGTTAGATTTTTGAAACCTTACTGATGTTAGTACATGTCTGAGCTGATTAAATGTAAATGAAATATTGAGAGGAATTGTGCACAGGTAGTCCTTGAGTTAAGACCACAATGGAGCCTGCCCATCATGGTCATAACTTGGTGATAGTTGTAAAACAAGTTGGTCACATGACCTAGATTTTATGACCTTTTTTGCAACAGTCGTTAAGCAAATGACCAGTCATTAAAGCAAATCAGTGGTTTGCTATGGTGTGGCTTTGCTGAAAACTAGAAATGCTGTTTTTTTACAAACTGCTATAAAATGTGGTATGACTGCAGGATACTGCAAACAGCTGTAAATGAAGCCTGGTTGCCATGCACCCAAAGTGCAGTCAGTGGACCACAGGTGTGGGGCACTGTCAGAACTTTGACTGTAGATTGTAAATAGCCAGTAAGTCCCTCGGGACTTTGGATACACCTAAGTGCCCTGTCCTAGGTCAAGGACTACCTGAATCACATTTCCAGAAAACATGAGCAAGAAAAATACTTATTTCCTTGATGTGATCACAGAGATCGCTAAACAATTTGATATGACTAGAACAGCTCACACTTTAGAGACACTTTTTACTTAAGTAAATAATTGAATAGGCCCTTTATCTACACAATCTTTAATTCTGTTGAAGGAAAAAAATAATAATCAGGACCTCTTTACAGATGTCATTTAAGATTAAACCTACAACTCAAGGCCTGCTATTTCTTCAACTGAATTGGTAATAATGATCTATTTTCTTGAAGAAAACTGAGGAAAGTTTGTTTTAACCCATGCATTCAAGACTTTAAATCAGGGGTGTTAAACTGCGGGCCGCACGCATCACGAGGAAACCACACCCACCCCATTGCCGGCAATGGAAAAACTCCGATATGTCGCACAATGTTGCAAGTTTGACATGTCTGCCTTAAATGTTGCATGACATACGTAATGCACAGAGTTTATGTGTGGTGTAGGATATTGAATTCTAGTCTTCTATTTAAAATTCATTACTAAGTAATGGTCTAACACTTTGGAGAATCTTTGAATGTTGTGCCAAATAAACTTGCCTGGGAATACAGATGTTCTACAATCATCAATCACCATCTTTCTACTCAAGATCGGGGGAAGGTCCCTGAAAAAGGCTTCAATGCTGAATTTTGATTAAAAGTGACTGCTTTTCACAATTTAAAACATGATAGGAAATGTATGGCCAAGTTCAACTTGCAGGGAAGTGTAGCATTTCCTCATACAGTCATTGGAAAAAAAATAAAAATGGTGCAAGGGTCTTGCTTCATAAAGAAATGACACAAACTATTCTTGCAGCTGTGAAGAACCAGATGAGAAACGAATTCAGAGTGATGAAGCAGGTATTATGTCTGGACAAGTAGCAGATGGAGATATGCAAGCAAATCAGGCAGCCTACAACTACAATGCCTGGTATCAGGTGAGCATTTATCTGGACATTTTTGGACTAAATACTTACATTCTACCTGTCTCCGCCAACTGAAATTATTTTATTTTAAAAATGTACTGCAGTTTAATAATACTACAAGAGTGGATCTGTATACCTTAGTAGAGGTAATTCATGTTTGGCAATCATTCATTCAGCAGCCTTTCAAAGTTGCAGCAGTTCTGAATGAGGGGACTTAAAACCATTCCTTCTGGTTGCAATTTGGATACGTGACAATTGGCATGCCCTTATCACAGCTGCAGTATTCCAAGGTCATGTGATTGCCATCTGCAATCTTCCAACAAGCAGACTCAATGGGGAAACTGACAGTAGGTCACAAATGGGAATCCTGGGATGCTGTGACTACAGGATTCACTTAACAATGGAACTGCCGTCATATGACATCAGCTTTATCAACCAAGTTGTCAAATCTCAAATTGCTTTATTAAGAAAGGGCTATTTGTGTATTTCACACCTTGAGAATTTTAGTTTTCAAGTTATTTTCATAA